GGTAATAATGATAGAAATAGTAATGAAGTAATACTAAAAATAATAGTAATAGTAATAGCAATAGATTTTTATAGTACTTTTAAGATTTACAAAGTACTTTACAAATATCATCTCAATTTCTCCCTACAATAACCCTGGGAATTAGGGGTTATTATCCCCACTTCAAATATGAAGAAACCCAGGCAGACAGAAGTTAATTAGATTTCAGGGTTGGAGCACAGGCCTAGGGTGGCGGAGCCAACTCCAGGGTCAAGTTCATCCTTAAGTACAAGTGGAAGCAAAGACTGAAGGGTAAGAGTAAGTAAGTAAGCAAAGTCAAGCGTCAGTCTCTGAAATCTGGCCGTTTGTTTCATCTTTGGCTCAATGTCAGCCTAGCACCGTGGGAAGAACAAGGGTCACAGTATCCAATCCTACGTCTGGCATTTACTTCCTGTGTGACCTTGGGCAGATCACCTAACCCTTCTTGACCTGTTTCCTTATCTGTAAAATGAGGAGGCAGGCCTAGATGACCACTGAGGTCCCTTCTAACTCTAGGATCCTTTTCCATAAGTGGAAAGTCCTGGGTTGTTTGTTTTTCTTTTTTTAAGCATTCATAACTCTATTGAATTTTTAAAGGCCCTGAATTATATTTCAATTAATCAAAAATAATTCTTCCCCCATTAGGCTCCTTGAGGTCAAAGGTTATCTTTCTTTGGTTCATATTTGTATTTCCCATGTTTAGCATAGTGCCCTGGTACCTAATGAGCCCTTAATAAGAGTTTAATCTAATCTAGGATACAAGTTATTTTCCCAAGATGATTTATTTTCCCAATAATGGTGCTAGGTGGTGTGACAGGACCAGAGTTCTCTCCCCCGCCCACCTCCCACTCCCTTTCCCAAACAGGGATTAGTTTTTCTTAAGAGAAAAAAAAAGCCATCCTAGGGAACCGACTGGCCCCTGCCTCCCTTTCAGGTCATCTAAGGGCACGATAAAGTCTCTTTCTTGTGAAGTCAGCCCCTGTAAATTGGTGGATGTCTGAAGATAATAGTTCTATGTTTCCATATAAAGAAAAGGGGGAGGAAGAGGAGAGTATCCTATAAAAACTAAGTGCTATTGTATCCTGGTTATATATTCTTGTTGTGTTAAGGCAAAGTCAACCTTCTTTGGTTAACTGTTTAATAACTTACTAGTGTCTCATCCCTCCAATCCCAAGTTGCAACCTGAACTAACAAGATACTGGAGTCAGGCCTGCCCCTAACAAGTGGGCATTGATTCATCCATACCTACCTCTTTTTCCAGGTACCCATTGTGATCAAGGGCATAAATCAGCAGAATACTCATCAGGATTAAGGGTGTTTTGTTGCTATGGAAACTAACTGGATCACATATAACAACCTGGGATAGGTTCTCTACTTGCTAAGTAGACCCTTGATGAATGTCTGCTAAATTGAGTCATGCTGATAGAGCATATCCTGCTGACCAGAATTATAGCAAGGCATGTAACATAACAGGTCCAGAGCAGCCCTCAAACAGAAGGGGTCTTAAGCAGAGAAATTCAATAATCAGTCAACAGGCACTTATTAAGGGCTTATTGGGGTTTATGAGATGTTCAGGGAAGACTAGCACCTCTGATGTGAGGGCTCCTCATTTACCTTTGGTATCTACCTGGCACTCAACTCTCACCTGTGGCTCTAAGAAGCTGTCACATGCCCAGCAAACCATCTTGGTAGAAGGGCTAAACCGGGTTGAAGGTAGCTGAACCCATCAGTGAATTAGAGGGGACATCTACCCCAAACATGTGAAGACTTCCCCCAGCAGAATGGGTGGATAAGAACAGTTTGTTCAATAGCCATGAAGGCAGCTAACACAGGCACTGCAAGGCCCTTAGAGGTTGGTCAGACATCCAGGACACCAAAATCATCTATCGCATTCCAGGCCATTGCCAGTTGTCTTGACTTTTGTTTTGACACTGGATTTCAATGACTCTGGAAGAGAGAGTGAGGCTGACAATTGCATGCAACTCTGATAAATCTAATTCATGCACAGGTCATGACATCATGCTGTGATGTCATTGGTTGGCTTCAAAAATGAAGGACAAACAACAAGGGCTTATTATTTGCTAGGCAGGGCAGTTAGAAGGCTCAATGGGTAGAGTGCTGGCCATGGAGTGAGGAAGACCTGATTTTTTTCCAATGGGATAGGAAGTAGGAGGGAAAGAAAATAGATTTCTATTAATTTTTCAAAAAGAGAAAAGGGACACTATAGATGCAGTACATGGACTTTAAGATGAGGCCACTGCATTATGTTTTACTAAATTGTTTTACTTTGTTACATGAGATCTCTTGAGAAATGGGAGTGTTTGTGATGTATAAATCAACAAAACTTTAAAAGCCATTAAATCCAGCCCCCTCTGAAGAGGAAAACAGAACCTGAGAGTGGTTAAGTGACTTGCCCAGGGTCACAGTAAGAGTTTAAGACAAGATTTGAACACAAGTCTTCCTGACTCCAGATCCAGCATATTAGCTCAAGGGCATGACGAATCTCCCAAATGTGGCCCAAACCAGATTAAAATGTAACTGGGAAATATTTAACAAAATAAATAAAAACAGAATAAAACATAATGTTAATATGTGGTTTTCTAAGTCAATATGTGATCCTTATATACAGTTTGGTGGTCCCCATTTCTATTTGATTTTGACACCATTGCCACAATGCGTCTCATGGTTGTTACTATCTAGGGCCTTCCAGTTCATGTCATATGAGAACCAGCTGAAGGAACTAGGAATGTTTATCTTGGAGAAGAGACTTGAGAAGACTGGGAGTGGGAGCACTAGACAAGATAGCCATCTTCAGGTTTTTTAAAAACTATAAATCTGGCTTCAGACACTAGTTGTGTGACCCTGGGTTAAGTCTCTTAACTCTGCTTGCCTCAGTTTCTTCATCTGTAAAATGAGATGGAGAAAGAAATAGCAAACTAGTCCAATATCTTTGCCAAGAAAACACCAAATGTCACACCTATCAGACTGGCCAAGATGACAAAACAAGAAAATGATGAATGTTGGAGAAGATGTGGGAAAATTAGTGTGGGAAAACACTAATGCATTGTTGGTAGAGTTGTGAAATGATCCAACCATTTTGGAGAGCAATTTGGAACTATGCCCGAAGGAATATAAAAATGTGCCTACCCTTTGACCCAGCAATACCACTTCCAGGGCTGTATCCCAAAGAGATCACACAAATGGTAAAAGGACCCACATGTATAAAAATACTCATAGCAGCTCTTTTTGTGGTGGTAAAGAACTGGAAATTGACAAGATACCCATCAACTGGGGAATGGCTGAGCAAGTTGTTGTATATGAATGTAATGGAATACTATTGTGCTATAAGTAATGATGAACAGAGAGACTTCAGAAAAACCTGGAAAGACTCTATGGTCTGCTGCTGAGTGAAGTGAGCAGAACCAAGAGGATGTTGTACACAATAACAGCCACATTGTGCGATGACTAATATTGATAAACTTAACCCTTCCCAGCAATACAAGGATCTAAGACATCTCCGAAGGCCTTGTGATGGAAAATGCTATCCACATCCAAAGAAAGAACTATGGAAGTTGAATTGCTATTTTTTTTCTCTTCTGCTGAGTTTTGTTTCCTCTTTCTGGTGGTTCCTCCTATTGGTTCTAATTTTTACTTACCACATCACTAATCTGAAAATATGTTTAATAAGAATGTATATATATATAGCCAATATCAGACTGTGCACCATCTTGGGAAGGGTGGTGGGGAGGAAGGGGGAGAAAAATTTTAAACTCAAAAGCATATGGAAGTGATTGTTGATAAATCAAAATAAATTAATTGATTTTTAAAAATTTTAAAAAGAAAAAAAACACCAAATGGGGTCATGGAGAGTTGAACTCAACTGAAATGACTGAACAACAATAAGAGAAATTAGCCTTGGTCTGTCTGGCTTCAGAGGCCAAACTAGGAGTAACAAGGAGGTCAAAGCTGTAGTAGGTTTGATGTCAGGAACAACTTCCTAATAATTAGAACTAATCAAATAATATCCCTCAATGCAGCTCACTTGAAGTCCCACACCTTCCATGATGCTTTCCCTAACTATTCTATTCTACCTCCACATAAGGAGTAAGCATCAGAGGAAGATTTGAACCCACATCGTCTCACCCCAAAGCCAGTGCTCAATCTACTATATCACAACTCAGAAGGATGTGGCCAGTGAATTTTTAGAATCAAATAAGATTTGAGCAAATAGTTAAAGAAGTTCTCAGGTCTTTAGGAGCTCTAAAGCTCCATGGGGCCTCAAAGCTGGGCCATTTATTTGTATGAGGTTCCTTGGGAAGGTCTCCATTTCAGATACTTTCCTCAGCTAACTCTAGGCCAAAATCAACCTTTTATGCAATGAAAAGTCCTTTCTTGAGTCCCCCTGTGCTTATCTTCTTCAAATAGAGGGTTGCCTTGGAAAGCACATTTCCTGGCATTTAGAAAAAAGCCATGGAGGCATTAAGGAAAACAGGTGAGGAGGTGGAGTCAGTGATATCAATAAAGCATTGGCTGTGGATGTTGGTCTGTAATCCAGGTGCTTTTAATTATGTAAAACTCCATACAGATAAGAGACATCCAAAGGTTGAGCCTTCTCTTCTTATCTACTGCATTACTGGCACTTAAACAAATTGAGTCCTTTTAGCAACTTCCATTATCTTGAAAAGTAAATTAAATATCTAAGAGAGAACAAGAAATTTCTGGGAAGTCAGGTTTTCTTTTATTTAATTTTTTTTAAACAAAAATCTATGGGGGAGGCAACATGTACATTTACAAGTATAGGCAAAATAAATGTAAAGCAACTTTGAGGGGGAATGGGGACACTAGTATATTTGACATGTTGAAGAGAGATTTTACTAAACTGCTTCTAACAATTATTTCTAAATGTATTATTATTTTTTAAAAAAGATAAGATTCAATCCTGCATTTTTTGTTTGCTTACTTGCTTGCTTGTTTTTCCACAGAAAGGCCCAGCTGGTGCCCAAGAGCCAGCTTGGAAGATTCTGGATCCTCATCACTTTCATTAGCATCCTTTGCATTTCTCTCCAAATGCTGGGAAACCTCCAACAGATAAGGTAATGTGAGGATGGGATTCCACAGTTGGGGAACAGGGCAGAAACCCTAAGTTCAGTCTGAGCTAAGAGTACATGGGCCACAGTGTCCTTCTAGGTCACAGGATGTCACATTTGTGCTATAACCAGTATAGGTCCAAACCCCCTGTAGCCCTGGAATCACATTTTAAAGAGGTACATGAAAAACCCAGATCAAGAGAAGGATAACCACAGGATCCCAGAGTTGGAAGGCATGAGACAACCAATTGAAAAAAAATGCATGGATAGGATTCTGGGCTTGGAATCAGGAAGGTCTAGATTCACACTTCCCCTGTGACATTTAATAGCTATGTGACCTTGGACAAGACACTAAGCCTCTCTCAGTGTCCACTTCTTCAACCTTAAAATAGGAGTCCTAAAGAAAAACACAATATCTCAAGGATATTGTGAAGATCAAGTGAGATAACATATGGAAAGCACTTTGTAAGGTTTGAAGCACTGTAGAAACAGAACCTGTTATTGCTTAAACTTTCTGATTCTCAGTTTCCATGGCTATAAAAAGGCAATAAGATTACTACCTCAAAGAGTCATTGTGAGGCTCAATGGTATTGGGTCTGAAACATCATCATTTGAAAAGAGCTTAGTCCATATAAATGTCAGTTGCTGTCATTATAAGGTTTATTCAAAACACTGATCTTCTCATTATTTAACTGCAGTTGCAAACAGGAAATCAAACATCTCATCCTTCAGCAAAATATCAACCTCCAACAGACATCCCAGGTTTGGAAGAACCACAACTCCACATTGTCTCCTCACCCCTTAAGCAATGCCCCCATCAGTCGCACTGAAATAACCCCAACTCAAGGCTCCCTGCAGAGAATGAAGGAGAATCAAGCACTCAATCCCACTTTGCAACTACAGAATGACCTGAGTTACCCAGAGGAAAATGCCTCAGATGATTTAAAGTGGCTTTCTTACACCTCCAAGTATCCAACACCTACATTGTGGGGTACTGAAAAAGCAGCCAAAGGCAAAGGCCAAACTCCCCCTCAGATCAAGAGCTCCAGACCCCTTCCCAAAGCTGTACACATCATGAGAAGAGAAACAGAAACAGGGAAGAAAAAGGAGATGGTTGACTCGATAGGTGCATCCCAACAGAATCATCCTCAGGGCACAGAACAAAAAGATAGTGAACTGTTAACTGATCTAGCAGACACCAATAGAGCCCAAGCTCAAAGAAGAGTAATGAAAGCTCCTTTATTCAGGAGAAAAAAGTCATTTGAAGGACAGCTTACAAGGCCCAAGACTCCAGTTTCCCTTTTTCTGGCCCCTGGTTTGCCAGATGGCCTTGACTCTTCCCATGAGGCAGCCTGCACACCCAAGACCCACATCTTTTTCCTGAAGGTCCACAAGAGTGCCAGTAGCACCATCATGAATATCCTCTTCCGTTTTGGAGAGCAACGAAATCTCACCTTTGCTCTTCCCGTCAACCAGTTCAGTCAACTCTTCTATCCTTTCTATTTTGTGGCTGAGGTGGTAGAGGGGTTCAAAGATGGCACAAGCCCTTCATTTGACATCATGTGCCACCATATGAGGTTCCTGAAAAAAGAGGTGAGTCTTGGGAGTTTAGAAAGCGGAGGGGAGGAGAGGAGGAGAAAATAATACTGGCTTTCCCTCTTGAGTTCATGTCCACAACTCACTCAGACATCACAATAGAGAAAGCCCTGGCTTTGGAGTCAGTGGACTTCGGTTTAAATCTCCCTTCACTGACATTTACTACCTCTGTGACCTTGCTCACTAGTCACTTTACTTCTCTGGGCCTCAGTTTCCTCATTGGAAAAAAGAGGGGGCTGAACTGAAAAGGTACTAAGGTCCCTTCAAGATGTAGATCTTGATCCATATTGTTGACCAACAAAGAAATCCAGATGACCTGTATTTGTTAAGAACAGCAAGGGAACAACTTACTGTATCCAAACCAGTGTTTCCAACATCAACAAGCCAGGAATGGAAGCCAAAATTTTTGCATGTATGCATATACGTGTGTAAATATGTATGTATGTTACACATGTGTGTGGTATCTATATACATGTGTATAGATATGTGTTGTATAGATGTGTGTTGTGTGTTTGTATATACGCATATATATATACACATACACATTCATATACACACACACACACACACACACACATATATATCTACAAACACACAATACACACACCTTTTCATCCTGAGAGAACACAGGCCCATCTTCTCACCACTAGCCAAATACTACTCTAAAAAGATTGGATTCTAAGGAGAATAAAAAATATACCCAAAACGACTTAGACAATTGGACCTGTCTCTAAGACTTGTCAGTGGCTTAACCACTTGGGTAAGGTAACTAGTAATATCTTATATTTCAATAAACATTCAACAAGCATTTATTAATAACCTACTCTGTGAAGGAACAAAGAACAACGTGGTTATTAAATAGAGAGTTGACTTCAGAGACAACTGAGTTGACCTGGATTCAATTCCCAACTCTAGCTTTTCTCAATGTCCCAGGAAACTCTCTGATATTCTAAGTTGCAAAAGAGTTGCCCATCTGTATTCATGGAAGATTTAGCACAGTGCCTGGCATATAGCAGAAGCTTAATAAATGCCTGCCGATTGATTTCTTCATGGGGAATTCCCTACATCAATGAAATTACACACACAAACACACATACACTCACAGTGCAAAGCTCTATACTGGCTGCCATTAATTTACAGGGAAAAAAAATGAAATAGTATAAAATAATACCTACCCTCAAGACCAAGGCTAACAAATTGGTTATTGATCTCCAGGGCATGAATACTTTAACCACTCTAGTGCTTACATTCTATTTTTAAAATGCTTTTTAGTCTAGCAATGTTTTCACATACATTATCATATATGATCTTTGGAAGCAGGTAGTACAAATATTCCCATTTTACAGATAGGGGAAATGAAGGTCTAAGAAGTTGAGTAACTTGCCAACTTCACAGGCAGTAAGTGACAGAGCTAGAACTGTATTCCCGGTGTTTGGGCTCCAACCAAAGCTAGGGGTCTTCCGATGTATGCTATCATACATTCCACAAATGACAGCATCACAATTCTTAGAGCTAGAAGGGGCCTCCAAGGGTTAGGGTTGTTTCCAAACAGATGAAGACAACTCTACTTTTAAAGTCCTTCTAGAAAAGACCTCACTGAGTCAAACAATGCTTAGCTAGGAAGTCTTTCCAGCTTTTTAACCTAAATCCCTCCCTGAGACAATATGAACCCATTACCCTGAATCAATTTCTTCACCTTGACTTTCTTTTTTCAGGTCCAGAGGGTCATGCCAAATGACACCTTCTACTTCTCCATCCTCCGAAGTCCCATTCATCTCATGGAGTCATCCTTCATGTACTTCAAGGCCAGCTCATCCTTTATCAATGCCAAAAACCTAGATGACTTCTTGAACCACACAAGCAAGTTCTATAATCCCCTGAGACCTGACAGTCATTATGGCCGAAATCTCATGACCTTTGACTTTGGTTTCAACCACAATGGAAAGGTCTCCACCCACCACACTCAGTTGCTTGCCCAGATCATTGAAAGCCAATTTGATCTTGTCTTAATTGCAGAGTATTTTGATGAATCAATGGTACTGCTAAAAGACTCCCTCTGCTGGAGCCTAGATGATGTAGTGTCGTTCCCCATTAACCAGCAAGATGCTTCTTACCATTCCCCACTGTCTTCCAGCACCATTCAGAAGATACAGAGTTGGAACAAGCTGGACTGGGAACTCTACCTTCATTTCAATCGTACCTTCTGGGAAAGAATTAACCAGAGCATGGGCAGGGAATACCTGCAGCAAGAAGTGGCTGCCCTACGGAGGCGGCGGAAGCAACTGGCAAAGACCTGTCTTCAGGGTGAGCAAAGTGTCCACTCCTGGGAGATCCAGGACAAATTGCTAGCCCCACTCCAGTACGGCAAAGCTAGAATTCTTGGCTATAACTTAAAGCATGGGTTGGACAAAGCAACAAAACAGGCCTGCCAGAGTTTTGTCACGCCTGAACTACAGTACAGCGAGAGACTATACAAAAGACAATTTCCCCAAAAAGCCCTCCGGCTCAGCCAGGCAAAGAAACGCTCCAAGGCCCACAGCATGAAGAAGCAGAGACCCTTCAAGCACCATTCCTAAACATCTTAAAGCGTTTGGCTGATGAAGAATCAGGAGAAGATACTGACATGGGCTCTTATGGGCCATCAGCATAAAGCAGTTATGCTCACAAGGCTCATGTGTTCTGGAGACTCTACTGAGTATTTTACAACATCAGCTGGATAATTTACAATCTGGGATAGATAACAGGATAAACAACTGTGTAGTCATCAGCTGGATATGTATGAGAGTGAACTAACCACACTCAGGACTCTAGAAATTGAACATGGGTGTGAAATACTCTCAAACAAATAGAAACTTGGGTTTTCTCCATTCCCTCTTCCTGATGAGAACAATATAGTTTATTCATTTTGAAGTCCTAACCAAATAGACCTCAGATTCCTCTAAGTACCCAAAATATTTGAAATTAAATATATAATATTGAATGCTCCATCCCAAGCATTAGACTAAAGGACATATGCACCCTCTGCCAGGCACAGGTTTATGCTAAGGCTAAAACTGAGCCTTGGCTAAAATATGACCATGGTCTTCAAGTAGACCAATAATGGAGTTGGTGACCAGATATAAAAAAGTGTCATGACAATTTAAAAAGTGAGCAGTTGATTACTTGATGATGGTGATTGAGGGAGGCAGGGAGAGTATGAAAACAGAAGAGTCCAACACTGATGTCTGAAAATTATGATCAGTTGGAAAAGTCCACTGCAACCAGGAGACGAAAAAAATGCCTGCTGCCTATTAAAGACTTTCATCATAACATCTTCTTGGCATCATCCTTGGGTTTCTTTTTAAAACTGATGAAGATGTAAATTGTCATAAAAGGGGTGGATGGACCTTTACAACAGTTCCTGAGCCTAGAAATAATCTCTCTTTTGCCTAACTGGATCAGTATCTTCACTACCCCAGGGAGAACTCATAGACCTCTGGACTATTTGCTCAGCAAATCAGGAAAAAAAGCAGAGAAATATGATTCCCCCATTGTTTGCCCCAGCTTGCAAAGCTGTTTTCAAATGTCTGCCAATTCTTACAGAGTAGCTCTCTCAAGAGAGCAGAGATATTCAGAGTTTATCATGGCCCTGTAAAAAAATTGGCAACTCCCATTCTTCAGAAAACTGAGGCTCAAAAAAAAAAAGGAAAGGAAATGCATACCATGGTCACATACCTAAAGTGATCTTGCAAGAGAGAGTGCATATATTTTAGTCCAGACCTGTGATGTTTATATTGTGTGTGAGATATTTCTAGTATGGAAATTTCCTCCAATGATTGAGATTCGCAAATTGCCTATAACTTAAAGAGTTGCTTGGAAGTCAGAGAGATTAAGTGAATTGCCTGTGGTCACATAACTAGTATGTTTTAGAGGTGGGACTTTTTAGAAGTAAAAGCTGAACTCATTTTCCTGCTCCAAAGCCAGTTCCTTTATCCACTACATCATGACTCTCACTAAGTGTTATAAGGGATACAAAAAACAACCTATTTTTTTTTTGAAGAGTCTACTTAGGGAGACAAGATAGCATTCCTGAAGCAAGGCAATAAAATTACAAGGCAATCTGCCACCTGCATAACTAACCAATTCCTCTCTACTTGTCATTCCCACTTGCTAAATACAATCTTAATGCCCTAATTTTTTCTCCCACCTATCTGTTCCCAAATCCAATTCTCCATCCCACTCTTAACTTTCCCATGATTCAAATAATTGCCCTTTTCTGATTCTGTTTTATGAGCCTACTAAGTACAATGGTCTAAAACCTGTAGCTTCCTTCTTTTGTACTCCTTCAGTTTCTTTGCAGGGTGCTCCTGCTTTAAAATTCCCCATCTCCAAGATCATAATCTAATTGGTTCCATCATCATCTTTCTTGGTTCCTTCCATTTGCTTCTCATTACCTTTCACATCAGGTATAACTCTCTCATTCCTACATTAACCTTTCCCCCCTCCCCACCAATGCATTCCATTGCCCTTGCCCAGATTTCTTGGTTTTCCTATTTCCCCATCTACCCTATTTACTCTTCTCAGCCTCTTCTTACTCCCTCCAGCATTCACATTCCCAGGAAATACCAGAGATAAGCCCCTCTTCCACCTTCTCAGTCCCAGTCACTTCCTAATGATCTATCCTGAAAACTCACATCATTGGTAACAAAGTTTGCCTTAGGCTTCACACAACATGCTTTATAGCCTTCCAGTTGATAATGCTTCCCCCCAACTTTGAAATAACCTTATATTTACTGTGTATATGTTTTATGCTTATTTATCTGTGCACATTTTTTTCCTCTTAGTAGAATGTAAATTTCTTGAGAAAAGGCACTGTTATGAAATTTTTTTTGAGAAAGAAAGTCTAGTAAAGGAAGATGACAAGTACAAAGTTTAAAGTAAGATACCCAAATGAAAATAACCTAGTATGCAGGGCTAGAGATATAGATTTAGGAATCTGGTAATGTTAGAAGCTATGGGAGGGGATGGACTATTTCATGATGGGAAGGGATCAATAGAACCAAAAGTGAAAAGAGAACTGAGTCAGGAAGAATTTAGCTGTTTGGAGATGGGAAGAAGAAGAACCAGATCAAAAGACAGAAAATCAGACAGAACAATAAGAGAAAATAAGGAAAGCAGAGGAACCAAAGAAGGAGAAGACAAGTATATAGGACAAATGATTTGGATGACAAAGAAAAGACCACTGTATTACATCAGAAAAAGCTCATGGAGGAACTTAGAGAGTAATGGGATGGAAGTAGAGAGATGTGGAGGGGGAATGGGCAGTAAGGAGCCTGAGGCAATCTGAGAAATTTAGGGGCAACAATGGGGCAACATTAGACTACAGTTAGTAGGGCTTGTGGGGCCAAGTAAAAGATTAAAATATTGGACGATGGAATGTGGAATGTGTTGGCAGAAGGGAACAATAGGATAATTTTGATAACATTAAATTAAAAAGGATTTGCACAAAGCCATGGAAGATTAGGGGGGAAGCAGAAAACTGGGAAAGAATTTTTACAACCAGTGTCTCTGATAAAGGCCTCATTTCTAAAATATATAGAGAACTAAGTCAAATTTATAAAAATATAAGTCATTCCCCAATTGATAAATGGATATGAACAGGCACTTTTCAGATGAAGAAATTAAAGCTACATATAATCATATGAAAAAATGCTCTAAATCACTACTGATTAAAGAAATGCACATCAAAATGACTCTGAGGTACCACATCACACCTATCAGATTGGCTAACATGACAAAAGAGGAAAATGATAAATGTTGGAGAAGACGTGGGAAAATTGGAACATTAACGCATTGTAGGTGGAGTTGTGAACTAACTAATCCAACCATTTTGGAGAGCAATTTGGAACTATGCCCAAAGGGCTGTAAGAACGTGTATACCCTTTGACCCAGCAACACTACTCCTAGGTCTGTACCCCAAAGAGATCATAAAAATGGGAAAAGAACCCACAGGTACAAAAATATTTATGGAAGGGAACAAAAGAGCAATCAAAGATATTGGAGATATGGAGGATGGGTATAGAAGCTAGGTCTTTCTGGTGGTAGGGAGAGACCAAAAAGGGAGTTTAGAGAAAAGGAAAGAAAAGACATTTTCCCTTTTGAAAATAGGGGGAAGGATGAGAGAATGTAAAGAAATGACATAGCTATGTATCATCTGCTAGAAGGCTCCTTCAGCCTCTGAGGCTTTTTACTCAGATGGAGTGTTATCCCTCTTTTGTGAGACTACCCATTCATAAAGCCATTTCAGCTTTTTTGTTCATCAGACATACAGCACAATACAGTTAGCACATAAAAGATCCATTAGGTTAAAGTCTTTCTTTTTAACTATATTTTTCTTCCTTAAGAGAAATTCCCTTTAGACTTAATGTTTAGGTTGGAGAGAGTAGATTTTTCTCAACTCCTACCATACCCTAATAGCTAGTGCCGGAGCCATGCAAATTATCCTGGAGATTCACTCAGCAATATTAAAAGGGTGATGTGGAGCTGGAAACTTCTGACCTACATTTCTGTATTTATATCCATGTCATCATCCTCCTCATGGGTAGGAAAGGGATTCCTAGAGAATTTACAAGATATAGCCCCATTCTTCTTAGGGATGTAAGAAATGACATTATCAGCTGTAAATGAGATTGGAAGAAAGGATTGAAGACTTAAGGAGAACGGAGGCTGGAATACATTCTGTGAGAATTATCAGGGTACTTATGAAGGATAGAGATCAGGACTGACAACCAGTGTTTGCAAAGTCAAGTTGTAACTGAAAAGCACAAATGTGTAAACTTCTCTGAAGGCACTCTGCAATATGAGAACAGGAATGGACCAAGTAGAATGCAAGTCTTCCTGAGTATTGAAAATGGGCACAAATAAACAGAAATTGAAGTGGGCAAAAGAAAGTAGAATGCCAAAAAGGTCAACACTGGAGTCCACAGTGGAGGATGAATCTGTAATGTGATTGGAAAGGCATTAATAACTGGGATAAAATGATAGAGTTAATTACTTAGAGGTCCAAGAGAGGATAGATATTGGGCCCAGTGTGAGAAGCAGCATTGCATAACGGGGATAAAATGCCAAACTTGGAATAAGGAAAACCCAGGTTCAAATTCTGATGCTTACTTGATGTGTGACTAGGAGCAAGTCACCTAACCTGAGCCTCAGTTTCCTCATTTGTAAAGTGGGAATAATAACATCATTCACACTCACCCCAAAGGGTTGTTGTGCATATCTTGTGAGATAATATATATAAAATGCTTTGAACCTTACACCTATATAAACATGAATGAATGATGAAGCATTTAAGTGTTTACTATGTGCCAAACACTATAATAAACATCGGCTATTATTACTATCTCTCCCATTCTTATTTTTCTAATTCTAATTCAGGCAAAAGGGATTTTCAGTTTGCTAGTTAGTCTATATTTCCAGGACCTGCAAGTAGGTATTATAGGTACAAACAAACAGAAAAAAGCCCTGGATTTGAAGGTGAGAACATGGCTTGGCACCACCCTCAAGGGATGTTTCCCAGGATTTCCCACTCAAAGAATAACAGGATGTCTGGTCAGAAAGAGACATCAAGAGAGCATCCAAGTCCACCATTCTGTAGCACAGAGGGATATACCTAACTCATTTCAGAGAGAGAGAGACTTCCAGGAAATATGCCTCAAACAGCATAAGCAAAGGCACTGGGGGTTTCCATAACGTAACAGAAAATACCAACAACCCTGCTAATCAGGAAATTGCCATAATTTATTTATTTTTTTTAGTCAAATGAAGTCTTTAATTTGTGCATATTACAGCAACTATGAAACACAATTACACTTTACATAGCACAACAAATCCATACAACAAAATGAATGGATCCCTCTAATACACCCTACATGGAATTCTGTTTGGTATTCAAATGAGCACAACTATGAATCAATATCCATTACAACGCTCTGATAAAGTGATCCAGGTCACATCTTGCTATAATGAATTCTGCTGAAACAAAAAGTTCACTCCAGAGAAGTATTTCTACCTCCTGGGCCACAGCCTATTACAACCATACTGTGTGCGTTCAGTGTTGGAGCTGTGGAATTGGCCACAATGGACAATTTGACAGCAGAGATTTCCACAAATGGGTTTTGTCTCAGTTCTTGTTTATAACTAGTGACTTACTAAACTCTAAAGCAAAGACTGTCTACTAAAGTCTAGAGGGAATACATAGCAAAAATGAGAAGCAAACTCAGGTACAATGATCTTAAATCTAATGTTTGTTCCAACATAGCAAATTGTTTCCCAAAGCCAACAGTTAAGGATTCCATACTAAAATTATTAGTGGGACCAATGACCCTTTCTTTTTTTTTTTGCATTCCTATTAAACATATTTTCACATTAGTGATGTTGTAAGTACAAAATAGAACCAACAGGAGGAACCACCAGAAAAAGGAAACAAAACTCAACAGAAGAGAAAAAAAAAAAGATAGCAATTCAAATTCCATAGCTCTTTCTTTGGATGTGGATAGCATTTCAGGAAATTGCCATAATTTAAATCTTCCTGTCCCTCTACACAAAACCCTCTATGTTGTAGCAATCCATATATTCAGTGTCCTCTGAGTCCATCGAGCCTAACATCCTAATCCATTTGGGAAAAAATGTAGAAAGAAGAGGTGAGCCAGGGTCCCAAAGGAAGCTAAGATTAGCTATGTCCATCTTTCTCTCAGTGATTTTGCTTACATGGTTCCTAGAAGATGCTCCCCACTCTTGGTAGGATCATAGATTTAGAACTGAAAGAGACCTTTCAAGATTATTCAGTCCCACTCTCCTGTTTCATAGGTGAGAAAACTGAGGCCCAGAAAGGATAAGTGACCTGCCTAAGGTCACTCAGGTTTTAAGTGGCAGGGTTGGAATTTAAATCTAGATCATCTGTCTTCAAATTCAGGTTTCTTCAGTCCCATCATCTTTCAAAGTCCAGTAGAAGTCCCACCTAACTCCATAAAGGTTCCCTGACCATCCTAGCAAGTTGAATGAGAATATTAGGAATCAGAGGACCTGAGTTCAAATTCTCAATGTGCCATTTTACTACTTATTGAATGGCCTTGGGTAAGTCACTACCCTTTTCTAAACCTTACTTTCCTCAATATTCATTTTATATTTTATATATTTATGTTCATAAGAAAAAGCACAGAGGTAAAATGGGGGAGTTAGACTACATGGATTTTAATGTTCTTTCCAACTCTAAGACCTATGATTCCATAAGGAGTGGTCAAGATGATCTCCTGGCTCTGAATTTGAAGTGAATTCTTTCCCTAAACCCTGTACCACTCATTGAACACTTAGTTTTGTATGTATGTGTCCTGTCTCTCTGACTAATTTTTATGTGTTCTTAAGGAAGGGATAATGGTTTATACTTCTTTACATCCCTGGCATCTAGCTCAGAGCATTTCTCATTGTGGTCTTTGATAATGATGATAGATACCTGGCTGCCATCTTCTGTGCTGCAATCCTAAAACAAAGATAAATTATTTTGTCCTGTTGATCTCTTGGCCTTCTCATTCCAAAATTAATTTGCCCTAACTCCCATTTCTTCTCTGTAATTTTTTTGGGGGTATCTTAAAATAGCTTTTGGAAAGGTAAGAGCCAACCCAGACCTTTCCTGTCAGAACCAATCCTATCAGTGCCAAGTACCTACTATGTGCTAGCTACTATGTGCCAGCTACTATGTGCTAACCTTCCCCAAGGAGGTTACTCCTACCATAGCATGCATACACCCAGGACCCCTCTCAGGCACCACACCCCCATGCAGGACTCATTCATACCAACTCTGAGGGAG